TCCCAAAAATCCCACCATGGCTCATGATAGTACACTTGGTGTACTCCAACAATATCATAGTGGGCGAGAAATACACCCCATTTTCCGGAAGAGAATCGTCCTCCAAAACGTACAGGTCGTCGATATGAGTTCTCACAGCGTCATCTACTGTAAAAGAACGAAAACTCGTTCGGTGCTCGCGATTGTGTGAATTTGTAGTAAACACTATCTAGTATTTATGGTAAAGTTGATTAGTGTAAGTCATATGGCGTTACGAAGTTACACGTAGTTTAAGTTCGCAATTTCTCAAGATGGTGGAAATACTAGTATTTTGCGAATATAGAAGAAATATTATTCGCTTTGAAAGAACGAGATAATGTTCGTTCAACCAGTTCTCTGTTTGTCCCAAATCTGTTGCAAGCTTTTTGTTGCATTGCAATACGAAAAATTTTAAAAACCATTTTGAATTCATTCTCGTCAGTGACTCTCACATAGTTCATAATGTTGCAACGTTAAAAGTTCGACAGACATGTTACTATTTGTATATCGTTATAAAGTGTTGCTATTTTCTGACGCATTAACATGCAATACGCTGCAACATGTTACTGGCTAATGTATTATACTGCTATAACATTTAGTGCATTATAAAGCAGTCAATCGCTGTCATTATCATATGAAAACTACCTGCTTTTTCCTCGCAACGATTCAAGTCGGGAGACCGCGATATTCGGATCGGGCATGTCGAGAAACGGTGTTCACCTAAGTTTCGTCTTGAAGGCAGACAAAAAGTTCTCGTGGAAATTTTTACCTGAGGTCCCCCTCAGGTGTTGTTTTGCCTAAAATGTAGGACGAAAACTTTTTTTTTCAAACTGCGTCGAATTATATATCATTCGATGCAGTTTTTTTTCATAGATTCCGAATATCACATTGGTTTTGCATAAAAATGCTTTTGAACGTTTAAAATTTAAGCTTTTCGCTTTTTCCGTTCTGCATATATAAGTTCGTGTTCACTGTGAAAAAGAGAAAACACGTTTTTTCTTCTCTCTTTTCTCTCTTCCCATATGATAAAACACGTTCTTATTTTTCTATCGTGTCATCGATATAAGGAACATTTAGTTGATTTTTATATTTTGTGATTCGAGTGAGAAAAGGTGTCTCTCAGTCACATACTGATAATCTACCAGTATACATAAAATTTTAAGCTCTATCCGAATTTGAATGTTTTACATTTCGGAAACGTGTATTGTCAGAAATATACGCGTTTCAAGAAAAACTTAATTAAGACAAAAACTCGCTTTTCGCTTAATTACCAAATTCTAAGTTCTAATCTTAGTCTCATTAGATAGATCACGTAAAATATCATATATTTTACCCGGCTTTCTCTTCGGGAACATGATGCAGTCATTTCAGGTTCAACTAGAGATTAATCTCAAAATAAGTACATACAGAGTAAATTTCTTGATGTCTTTTAGCTCTTTCTTTCAATGCTGGTTACTTACTCTAAAGTTATCAATGGTGTCAATCAAGCCTTAGCACTCCTCTGCCGTTAGTTTTGGGACCATCAAAAACGAATGAAAACATAGGTTATCGACTATACTGAATCTCGTGGCAATGTTAGTTTTCAGAATAAAATGCCACAATCGAGTGAAAACCTAGAGGATGTCCCATAAGTCACTGAACGACTTTGATTGCGAATAACTTTTGATAGGAGCAAGATAGAGACCTGCGCTTTCTGCCATTCGAAAGACGAGACTTGGAGGCATGTTTTCATAACCAACATTATTTTCAGAAGAGTTTTCTGAAACAGATTTTCTACGAGATCTTTGGAAAACTAGGCCGTCTGTAAAGATTTTTCAATGGGATTGTATTGCTTTTTTCTCACGGGCTGATAGCTCCGGATGTCCTCTCCAAAATCAAGGTAAAGTAAGACCTTGGTTTTCCATGGTTCGGGCGCTGTATCGGATTTCCTACAAATCACACGACCGGCACCCGGTGACTCTTGGTAGCCTTAAAGACTGATGGACTATGGGTAATCGACCATGCTGAGTTTTGTGGAAATATTTATTTTTAGAAAAAGTTCTACAGGAACATCTACTTCAAATGCTTTTTCGTCACTGAAGATAATGTTGTCCCATCGAGCTGTTGCGTGTAATAAACAAAAGTTTAGTCGTTGTTGTGCATGTCGTGCATTAATTAACGGTTGAGTTCGTGCATGAACTGGACGAAAACCCAATGATGAACGATGGCGTCGAATAGTTCGAGAACTGACATGCAAACCAGTACGATGGAAGAGCCGATTCGCAATATTACTCGAAGTATCACTGGGATATCTATACAATATTTGTCGTAATGTATGAAATTCATTAGCATTGCACAGAGTATTACGGCCTCTGCCATTTCGTTCTAGAACATCGTCGGTTTCCTCGAGTAAATCGAGTATGCTGTAAACCGTTTGAATCCTACAAGGAATAAGACGAGCTATTTGACGAACACTTCGCCCTTGATCGAAATTCAGTGAGATAATACGCCAACGATCACGAATAGATAAATGAAGAACCACTGCGAATGAGCACGTTTCTTCGAAACGAAATAGAAAATGAACAGCTATTTGAACAACGTATGTGCTAATAAGACCAGCTGACAAATTCACGCCTGAAACTAGATGTTATCTTTCGCGAAAATAGGAGGAAAAGAAAACGTCAGAGAGTGATCCTGTGTATGACGGCTGAAAGAGAAAAAGAACGAAAAATTTCTACAACTACTTCCTATACCCGCTCGTGTTCTGTGGATAAGAACGATTGCATATGTGTTTGAAAATAAACTATCACATCTCTTTCGAATATCTGAAAATCTTCCTCTTTAGGACTACTTACACTGCGAACTTTTGATGATGTGTATACAAGGTCTAACAAATGTTTTCGATCAAATAATAGCTAATCGTGGCTGCGACAGTAGAGGGTGATAGAGTTTCTCACGGCCTTCCAGATGGCCAATTTCGTTTTGAAATAAATTGATGAAAATATAGCAACACACACATCACCGGGGAATGGGATGATGAAGGTGTCTTTGTTGCTCTTGAATTGTTTTACAACAGACGAATACAACTGAAGATGTACTTATAGACGGATGAAGAGAATTTGACGGGCTATCCAAATCTCTATTTACTTTGTCAAAACGAACAATTATAGTGATAATATATGGAAAATACCGAGTCTAGTTATTTTTGGCCAGACGGATATAGCATATACAACAGTCAATATCACAAGTTCTTATTAACTTCCTAAGTTTTTGTACAACCAAACGAGCAAAATAAGCCAAAAGAAAGAAAACCACGAATAACAACACTGAAGTGGTACTGCCTTCAAAAATTTATAAACACTTTCATGTCTTTCTTTTCTATTTTGTTCATTTTATTGCGTTTCGCAAATCAGAATGAAACGCCTTGAAGACGACGAGAACATTTTCCTTTTCCTTTTAAGTGTAAGAACACGAGAAAGACATTTTATATTGATAACTTTGAAATTTTAAATAAGCTAGCTAAATATAACACACACAATGTAGTCAAGAATATCGCTTTATCTGTGCTCGCAGATTCTTATACTTAGAGAGTGAGCTCTTGCTTAGATATAAAACTTTTATTGTTTTTTCCCTCATCAGTACTCAAATTTCCAATATTTCGTACAGTCAAATTTTTATATTTGAACAGAAGCTTACTCTCTAACTGAGTGTTTTTCCGCAGCTTTGCTGTCAATTCATGAGGGAATCGTCACGGGTAACTCACTCCGATTTACCAAAACATACTTTTCGTTTTTACTCTCGTTGTCTGTGAAAACTATAGATATGGTAGTTAAAAATTTTATATCTCTGAGAGCACTTGTTCGATATGTCTGAAAACTTGTGTACTTATGCACCGGTGAAAGTGAAAAAGAAATATTTTTTTCTACAATTTAGAGAGACATGGAAGCAAAGAAATTGGACGTGTATCGTTAACATTTACAACGTTAGTTTTTGTTTTAAACAATAAAATAATTCGTGCTGTTAACCAATGAGTAGGAAAAAAAATGAGTAGGTGTAATTTTTGACCAGAAACTAATGGAATGAACATGTGAAACACATCAAAGACCGTACTCCATCACGAATTAGTCTTTTACAATTTCTGTCCAGATCATCACCGGAAACGAATCCCAAAATAATGACAAATCTATACAAATCTTTAGTAAGACCTATTTTAACGTACAGATCATCAGCTTTATTAAAAGCAGATGAAAAAATATGGAAAGCGCTGCAAACAGCACAGAACAAAGGACTTCGAGCTGCACTAGCGGTTCCATCCTACACTTCGTCCACATATATCCATCAACAAACCAAGATGTTAAAACTAAAAGACTACTGCAAAACTCTGACACAACAAGCTCTCATACCCGCACAAGATAACAAAGATGATATTTCAGCAGATAATCTACATGCACTTTTAACAGATTTGTAAATACTGCTTAAAACTTAGATTAATTCAAATTTTCTCTTCTGTTATTTAGGTGACAAAAGACTTTGGTCATCAGAGCTGTACTTAGCATTCTACAGGTTTATTCAAAATAAACTGCTGTTATCTTAAATGTCATAAAATGAATACGCTGAAGTTCATTTTTTGCAAAATTATATAGTTTTATATCAAAGAATGTTAACTGATTCAAAATAGTTGTAATTTCACTATTTTGTTGTATTCGGACACTATACTTTAACACTCACAGTCTAAAAAATGAAAATCAGCTTCTCACATTCAGTAACAGATCTAAAAGCCAGTGATTTGTGTTTAATTTTAAAAATATTTTCGAATTCAACTCATTATAATCGTACATTAAATTTTCATAAAAATCAATAAAAAAGTCAACTAATTTCAAATGGTTTTTTGCTAAATTATAGACTATGTCATTTATATTGTTATCGTTTAATCTGATATTATGTTCTTTAGTAAAAATGCTTTCTTTCACTCATTAATAAATGAAAACCAAATTGCTAAGTGACACTTTTGTTTATCAATGACTGTATTATATTACTCTCTGAAGTCAAAAATTCTTTCAACGTTAGTGAATGTGCAATATTCTCGAATAGCAAACCATGACGAGAAAATTCGTATAGGGACAATATTCGTTCAATAAGATTACGAAATATTGTAATGAATATATCATCATTATTGTCAAATACTTTATATTTGGACAAATCATTATAAGAATAAAAACCTTTGATAATATAGTATCCTTCAAATTTATTAATTTGTCAAAGCGTTTTGTTTGGCATTAAATCAATATATACAGCTAAAAGTATGTAATCAAACAGCCATATCCTTCAGTAACAAGAAAGACAAGATTTGATTAAATTTTTGATAGAAACGCATTTTGTTAAGAAAAATCAGTCTCATGGATGTCTTATTCGTTCAGATCGATGCGGAAAGCAACCGGCTACAATGATATCCGTATTAAAATTCTCTTTCAACTAGCTTACTAAATGGCTGGCTACTGCACTCTCTAAGAAAACAGACAGTTTAAAAAAACCGTATTTTGTTGCTGTTTCTAATACCAAAAAGGTATAATCACATTTGAGAAACCAAGTGAGGATTTTGTATAGTTACTCGGCCGTTTTGGTTTTTTAAAAAAGTATTTTAAGAAAATAAAGGGTTGTTTTGTCAATACCTTAACTTAAAGCTCTTTACTACATCATTACAAAGTATATACAAAATGCAGAGCATTTCGGAATGAAAAATAGACACTAACCAATATTCGTATGCAGTGATCAGCAATCCCTCTCCCACCTCCCGCCTCTACATCTATTCATACACGCAGCCTTCCTTTCTCTCCTTCATCTCCGATTCGTTTTTTATCTTTTGTTATGGAATGCACCTTGTAAAATAACTCCTAGAACTATGTAATGGCAGCTTGCCGCTTTAGTTGGAGGGTTATTAGGATTTCTTCATCTTTACATAAATATAGTTTAAACCAACACAAATAGCCTGCAAGAAGTACGAAGAGAAATAGTCTTAATAGCCATAATAGCTTTAAAAGAAAGCAATGCTCAAATTCTTTTGCAATAAGCCGGCTATCAGCAACAGCAATTGGAGGCAACAGCTCAGTGTGTCAGTTTTTTCTTTCCTTTATTGATTGAACGGCTCCGCAGAACCAGCAAAAATTGCATGTGCCGACGGTTTTTCACGTCGACATTGCGGGATATTGGGAAAAGTTTTCAACTAGCAATAAACGCGACTCGGTGTAACCTCATTGTCTACGTTATCGTCCCTGCGCAAAGCTGAAGATATTCAAAAAAAGGCAAGGCTTTTATAGATTATTCAGCGGAAAGAAAAAAGGTGAATGAGAAGCACGCATGCAATGAATCATTCTATTACACAACTAAAAATATAACACTTCTCATTTATCTGGTTCGGTACAGAACAGAAAAGAAGGTATATGTAGTGCCGAATAATACACGCAGAAGGAAGCTGAAGGTAAGAGAAGTGTTGTGTCTTTAGTTCTGTAACAGAATGATTCATTTCATGCATGCTTCTCATTCACATTTTTTCTTTCCGCTGAACAATCTATAAAAGCCTTGCCTTTTTTTGAATATCTTCAGCTTTGCGCAGGGACGATAACGTAGACAATGAGGTTACACCGAGTCGCGTTTATTGCTAGTTGAAAACTTTTCCCAATATCCCGCAATGTCGACGTGAAAAACCGTCGGCACATGCAATTTTTGCTGGTTCTGCGGAGCCGTTCAATCAATAAAGGAATGGAGAAACTAAAGTCGTTCAACTCTGAGTCTAGCCAAATTCTAAGTTTGCTCACAATATATATATATACATATATCGGGTATATCAGTGAACGTGTATTCGTAGATATTAGTGCTAGGATAAGTTTATTGTTAGAATCATTTCAACATCTTGTGAATGGGACAAGATATCCAGCTATTCTGGGTCAAACAGAACCAAATTATCTGCATCCTCAGAAATGCTAATAACAAAGCCATCATACACTGAGAATACTCACATTTGTAGAGACATTAATCATTGAGTGTAGTTTCTCATTTTTGTGTATTTCTATTTGAGATTTGCCATAATTACTATGTTTACTGCACCCGTACAGCGATGGAAAGGACCCTGCCGGATTTAAAAATTTGAAAGTATCAAAAAGCAACCCAAACTACGTCGAATGATGTACTTTGTTAGTCTATCTGACTAGTTTGATTTTTGTCAAATTTTTACGTCGAAAAATTCCTGAGATTTTCATCAAAAAATAAAAATAAAGAAAAAGTTTCGAAATATATATATCATTCGACGTAGTTTGGGACGCTGGTTCCGAATATGATATTTTTATTGCATAAAACTTGATTCCCGATGATTAAAATTGAGAATACCGGCAGAATTTCGATTTTTGCTCCTCTGATCTTGAAAATATGAACTTTCTCTATGACAAAGCACGGTAGAAGAAAGAAAGGTATATACTTTTAAAGCTCGTTTAATGGCGGTTTCAATGAAGTGCAAAAATCGGCTTCATCTTTTCAAAGAAAAAACTAGATAGGTTTGCGAAATTGTTTCTGAGTTTTTTATAGGAGGAGTCAAAACTAATTATTTTTTTCTTTTTCTATATTCGTATAATATACCATTCGATTCGTTCGAGGATCAAGAATATTATCTTATTTTTACAAAAGACGCTATGAAAATGAGAAAAATCAATTTTAAGACCAAAAATGATCAATAACATATACGAAGCTTTATCAATGTTGAATTTTTTTCTGATTGATGCACCCGGCATTGAAGACTCAAATTGTGTTGCTAGATAGCGTTAAGTATCGGACAATTTTTGACAAAGTTTGGCGGTGGTACTGCATTTCTTTGACCTGCTATAGAAGTTTTAGTGAAACGTATGAAAAATGAAAATTCGAAATTTTGCTCGAAAAATATTTTTTTCTCAAACAACAAC